ACATTCTAGTGCCTGAAACCCAAGTATTTTCTTTCTCTCCATCTGTCCCCCTTATGCTTCTCACTTAATAGTTAAGGCTGCTGTGTCTTCTCTAAAAACCAAATCCTCAGGAAAGCAGAAATAAACACCTTCCTTTATTCATCCCAGTCTTGGATCTGGATTTTGATGACACCCCTTCCCCAGCCTCAGTCTGTGACAGCTGGTCCTGCCAAAAATACACTGTCCTCCCTCATCCCCTGCTGAGAAGATGATGGAATTGACCCCAGTGACATCACACAACCCCAAACTCTAAAGCTGGCGAAAGGGCTGGTTTTGAGTGGGTGCTAATGGGGATGAAAAATAGCAAGAGTCGCTTTTAGCACATGAGTTAGGCAAGCCGAATCTGGCTGTTCTCTGGCAGAATGTCTAGCCTGCTGCCTGCAGGTGTCCTGGGACAGACAGGATCAGGGGCCACACAGCACAATGTGACCGTGTCCCTGTGTGCTGAGTCAGGCAGGGCAGGCAGTGCCACACCTGGGCCTTCCCCAGTGAGCACGGAGGAGTCTGTGTACCTGCCACAGCCCGTGTCTGGCCAAGGTGGTTGCATCAGTAGAGACAAGGGAAAATCTCAGAGGTGATGCTCACAGACAGACTAACCCCTTCTTAAGGAAAGCTTTAAAATGGTCATGCTCGGCCCTCCCTGGTGGCACAGTGGGTTAAAGCTCTCAGAAGCTGGAGCCACTTCTGCATGAGTTCGATTCCCGCCTGCCCCGGAGGTGACCACATGGCGCGGCAGACCTCTCCTGACCCGCCCGCTGCTCCCCTCAGCAGTGTACTTCGTCGATCTGCCTGTTCTGCTCCCCACTCTGTCCCTGGTGAATCCTCTCACCACCTGCGCCTCTGGCCTGTATCCCAGTTCTGTATGCATAAATAAATAAATCTTAAAAAAAAAAAATGGTCATGCTCACCCAGCTGAGAGAGTGAAGTCGCACCCTTATGCAAGGTCTTTAATATTAGTTTTAAATACCTGACCCCTGCCCCCCCCCTCCTGCAACCCACCCCGGGGATGGGTGTGTGACAGCTGCTTTATAGTATGAAAGTTTCCCTATTTCACACATGTCCATAAAGAAAACAAAGGCATAAGAGGAAAGAGTAGAAGGAGAGAAGAGAGATCAGATGATGATGCAGAAAGGCTCTTTGTGACTGGAATAAATGCCTGAAAAAGAAAACCCTGAAATAACTAGGAGATACCATTTCCCTGAGCTTTGCTAAATCTGGGCATGCAAAACCTTTCGAAGTATCAGTTATACCCCGTTCACTGTGCCAGGGTGGACTCTGGCAACGTCCTCCTCTTTTGTGTCCTTCACATAATATGCGGGGTTGCCTATTTAAACGCTGAGAAAAGAACGTCTGTGCAAGCAGAGATCCCCTCTTGAGTGAGGGGACCACTTTCCAGCAAGTTCTGATGATCGCCGGCAGGGAGCATTGTTGTGAGAGGCCTGCTAGGAGCTCTGACCTCCCCCCAGTTGCAGCTCCAGAAAGAAGACAGTTGGGGAATGGAGACTGGCCACATTGGTGGGGCAGTAGGTTAGGGTTGAAGGCGTCTCTGAGCCAGAGGCTAGAAAGGCCAGTGGCTACGAGGGAATTTAGAAAGGTTCATAGGCCCTAAACTCTGTTGGTTATAGACTTTAAGTGGAACAAAAGGATTCTTTGCCCTAAAATATGCCTCTGGCTCTTTCCTTGTTGCCTGAAATCTCTGCCACTTGAGCAAAACCTCTATTGAGCAATAATCCCAGGAGGCTATTGTCAAAATGAGCAAAAGGTCCCTGCACTGGGGGTCATGCTTGACCCAGACCTGGTGGTCCTCTTGCATAAGCCAGGCATTCACATTCCTTGTCAGGGTGCAGTGTCCCCAAGCCCTCTGGTTGCTAGTTGCTCTTATACAGATTTCCATGAAATCTTGTCAGGGACCAGCCCCAATCACACAAAGTTGGGGTGCAGAACAGGGAGGGTCTCAAGGTGGGAGCGGCATTAGCAAGTGGAGATTCCTAAGAGGGAAAAGGGGAGCGGCGCGAGGAAGACACAGGAGTTGGAGTTGGGTGCAAGTCTTCCTGTTCTGCCTTTAGCAGTTCATTTTATACACTTTAGGCAACAATTAACATATGAATGGGGCTGAGATTGTTACAGGGCACCCCAATTCTGTTAGAGGACAGGGGAGAGAGAGGGGCACTCCTGAAGCTCCCAAAACCTGCCTGCTCTAAGTGGGTTCTGCCATCTGCCGCAACAAAACAAAACATATAAAACTTTAATGAAAAGGGACTTTAATACAACTTCTAAATCAAGCACCTGAAGTTACCCATCCCCTCGTGGGCAAAAGTCAACCCAAAAGGGATTGGCCCAAAGCAAGGCCTGAAAGCTGCCACTAGACTAAAACACCTTCTGGCCAGGACCCATGGAAAAGGGTCAGACATGGCCAGACAAATCTGAGATCATAAAAGAAAAATCAAAATCAGTATAAACACTGCCATAGTCACCTCCCTACAGGTATCTCACCCACATCTGCCTTAACCAGTCCAGGGTCAGGAAACAAGCCTGGTTTCTTCCTCACATGCTTGCTGCTCCATGTGGCTTCCTTAGATCTCCTCCTTGTTCTCCATCCAGCTTCATTTCCTTCTCATCTCTCTTCTCATTCCTTTTTCTCCCTCTCCTTTTTCTCTGCTCAGCTCCACCCTCCATCTGGGTGGGCAGGGAACCTGGAACTTCCCTTTTCTTAGGGACCACCCTGTTACAATATGATAATATTTCCTCTGAGAGCAGTTAAGATTATAGACCTTCAGTTAAGATTATAACATTATTGATCTACTAAAATTAAGATAAGTCCATAAAAATTAAAGTTAACATTGTTTAGTGTTGGTTGGCTAAAAATAACAATTCCTTTAAATCTAAAATGCTATTCTATGACCTTCATTTTTACTAAGACATCTTAGAGGGTAAAACAAAGTCGAGGGTTAGGGTGGAGACTGGGTGGAAATGTGAAGAAGGATAAAGTAAGGTCGTGGGCTAGGGTGGAGTATTCTCTTGAAAGTCAATCACAGAGATACAGTAAGGTTCCTCAAAAGCTAAATAGAGGATTTGGGTGAGGTTCCTTATTTGAAGTTTAGACAACAGAAAACTTAAGTAGTACTTTAGAAACTGAATAGAAGGCTTATGTGAGATAGTAGAGAGATGGGATTTGGATTCTCATCCAGGCGCACAGTAAAAGAATTCTGATTATTTTAGTATTGCCTTGTCTTATAATATTGTTATAATTGTTTTTATTAATTATCCAGTTGTAATATTTTTTAAGAGAACTTTTCCATCCTAGGGCAACGCTTGCCTGCCTGAGCCAAGCAGCACCTTAAGTCAGTCCAATAGGAAACTGATGGTTGCTTGCAATATTTTGATCATACAAAAAAGGGGGGTCATAAAATGGGCTAGCGTGGAAATTCTGACTTTCCAGGGCATTTCCCCTCCATCCGGAATATGTCTGACGATAGAGGTTGCTTAGCTTGTGACAAAATCTACTTAAATAATCATGCTATCTGCTGATAATGACAATCTCACTCATCCTTTTCCATCCAGATGCCTTTTGTTCGCTTTTCCTTGCTTTGCCAGGGCTAGGATGCCAGGGCCCTGTGAAATAAAAGTAATGAGGGGTGTTATTTCTGATCTTTCAGAGGAAGCTCTGAGTATTTCATTTTTGAGAATGTTATCTTAGGTTTCACATAGGTGCCCTTTTCAGACGGAGCAAGTTTCCTCCTGCTCCTCCCGTGTTGCCGTCCTGCCCCAGCCTGCCAGCAGTGGGCCAGCCGGCAGTGCCACGTACCTCGCCCATGTTTCTCCCAGAGCTTGGTGCGCCGTGCCGCCCGTGGTCCAGGGCTGACCTGCGTCCTCACCTTGGCCTTGGCTCTTTCTTGCCACAGTTCTGGTGGTGATGGCTCCCCAGGAGCAGAGGCAGGAACTTCCCCCATTGTAGTTGAGTACACCGTCCTCACTCCTCTAAGGGCCTACCCTAAAGCCACTTTGCCATTGTTATTAAAAGCACTTGTAATAGAATGTCACAGAAAAAGGGGGCCGGCCGTGGAATCAGAAGGGCGTAGCCTTCGCTCACATCGGTTATAATCACTGTCGACCTTAGTTCTCACATCTAGAAAGTGAGAGGAAGTGTTACAGGGCACCCCAATGTGAATTGGGTTATTGGGTTAGCTGTCTGTGGGTCTTCACCCGCGCCCTTACGATTCAATCGTATTATGGACACACTCAAAAAGGTTAAATAGTAAGGAGAAAGGTAAAGGAATAACCCAGGGAAGAAGGGAGAGAAATACAAGTTAACTAGAATGTCCTACCAGTTCTGCTGACTTGGACTCCACCAGCACACTGAAAACCGATCGAGAGCCAAAAAGATCAGCCGCGAACCACCAGGCCAAGAGACCCCCAGAGCCCACATGTCCGGCTTTATCCCAACCTGGCTGCTCAGCTCCGCCCTCACGTCCCAGCGTGCTTCTCCTTGTTATTGATGGGATTAGTAGTTCCAGTATCTGGAGTGGGGGCAGAGTCCATGTAACCTGTACCTGTTACAGAAGGACAACTGGCCTACTCCCATATGTGTGAGGAATAAGCTAGATGATCTGGCACCACGTGGCACTGACCCCAGCCCTCCAGAGCTTCGGCATCCTTGGAGAGGGGGCGGGCACAGACCTCTGATGAGACCTGACTTCTTCCTGCCCTTGAGTTTCCCTCCTCCACCCCCCCAACCCCCACCTAGTGTCCCAGCCCGTGTCTGCACAAATGTTCCAACAGAGCCCCCTGGGAATCTTGTGTTCTAATGACTTTATGACTGCGCCACTGTCCTGCCATGATGATGAGTGTTATGTATTTGGTTTTTGAACCTGTTTCCCCTTAAAATTACAAAATACAATGCCACAAAGTAGTGTGTCAGAATTTCTTACACAAGAAGGTGTACATCTGTTTTTCTCCCTCAGGTCTTCCTGGAGCTACAGGAAGTCCAGGGGAAAAGGGAGACCCTGGTGAACTGGGCTTGACTGGAAATGAGGGCCCCGCAGGGCAGAAAGGTGAAAAGGGGGACAAAGGGGATGTGTCCAACGATGTGCTCCCTGAAGGTAAGAGGCCAGTTCCATCTGTGTCCAGGGAGAGCAGGCCCAGAGGCCTGCCTGGAGTTAGTTGAGGCTGCTCTGGGTCCTCTCTCCTCCTCCAACTGATGTGGTACTCTGATCTGCACCATGCTTTAGAGTTCTGTGCTTTCACAGAGAAGACTTGCATGTTACCCCAGGTTTTGGAAGAACAAATCTTGTAGATAATTCAGATCTGGACATTGTAACTGGTTTGAATCAGACTGAAGGGTGTTTGCTTTTCCCATGTAGCTATTAAATCCAGCACAATCCAGAACAGGACAGGAAAGCAAGCAGTTTAACATCAGTTGACAGAAAGCACAGGTATTTTCTTCACAGTCCCCAGGCCCTTATCCTAAGCTTTTTGACATAGAATTGGGGCAAATGTGGTTGCTGATCTCCTTTCAGCAGGGAGATAGTGGAGGAGTAGGAGCCCCAGAAAGACACAGTGGAAAAAAGATGAAAGTGAATGATCATAGAGGAGAATAATTTTAAAAACACAGAATTCTAGATGCTATTTATATCATAAAATCAAAGCTGCCTGGTTGTATATTTATTATCAGAGAGCAGCTTTTATAAATTAGGGACTTGGAAATATGAATGTGAAAATTAGTAAATTGGCCTCAAGAAGCCAAGGTGATAGATGCTTGGAGTAATGACCCAAGTCATTGTCTGTCCATCCAATCAAAAGCTACTGAGCTCTTACTGTATACTATGTGCCAGGCAAGGTGCTAAGATCAGAGTATCCACGAAAGACCAAATTATGTTTCGCTTGCTTTGTTTCACAAACAGGGGAAGTTGTTACCCAAAATACTTAAAACATAGCAAGTGTTTTTGCTAGGATTATATCTGTGAATATTCTTTGCAAATATATGACCTTGTTACACTTTTGCTATCTGGGCAATCTATGCATCCCAAGCATTGCATTCCCTCACTGCTTGAGCAAGTGAGGAGTGACACAAACATTCAGAAAAGTAACATTCCTGAGTGCACCCCAGTTCAGGAGATCAAGCCAGAGTTAACATGTCCTTTGGCAGAGAGAAGAGAAGGGGTGGGCTGGTTCCTGCCTGCTCTGTCTATAGTTCTCTGCCATTTAAAAAATGGGCAGAGAGCACCTCCAGCCTCCGCCACCCCCTTGCCCACGCAGGAGGGACTGAAAAGGCTCCAGAGCCTGACTGGGAAGAGCAGCTAAAGGTACCTCCCCTCCCCAGGCTGAGTCCAAGACAGGAGGGGAGAGCTTAGCACTGACCAGCCCAGCCCAGGGGCACGTTGATGAAAGTGCCACACCAACAGCCCCCGCGAAGGGTGCAGCCATTTGGCCACCTGAACTGTGAAGCATGGCATAGAGAAGAGAAGGGGCCAGCTGCCAGAGCACTCACCCTGGTGCCCTCTGGGAGGGGTGGTGTTTGTTCCCTTTGTCCATCTTGCGAAACACAGTCTCTGACTGTGGCTCTTTAATCAGTCTCCCTAAACTTACTCTCTCTCCAGGCATCAAAGGTGACCAAGGTCCGCCCGGCCCTCCTGGACCTCCGGGCCCTCCAGGCCCCCCAGGACCCCCTGGAAGCAGAAAAGCCAAAGGCCCTCGGCAGCCGAACATGTTCAACGGCCAGTGCCCAGGTCACCAGCCCTGCCCCGGGGGCTCTCGCCTCTCCTGCTGATGATCCTGACTCTCAGGCTCTCCCCAACCTCATGGCCCTTTGGAACAAAGGGAAGAGATTTTTGCCCAGAGCCACAGTTACCACTTGCAGCATGTTTGTGGGAGGCCTGAGCAAGGATACGGGTGGCAGGTTTAGGGTTGGGCCTCTGCCCCTCTCCCTCCTCCTTCTTCCTTCATTTTCTGTCAGACTCTTGTTCTTCCTTGCCATATTTGCCATCCCTCCCTGCAGCCTTCTCAAAGGCTGAGCTGGCTTTGGGCACGGTGAAGGGCTTGCCTGATGCTGAGGGCAGCCCTGGGTAGCCCCACAAACACTGCAGGGCTCCCGTGGCCACAACTAAGTTCTGAGGGCTAACTTGGGCCAGGCACAGTGTTTGGTTCTCATAACAGTCCTGTGATATGGGAGTCATTATTGTCAGTAATTTACAGTTACAACATGGAAACACCAGGGAGCTAAGTAGCTTGGCCAAGGCCACTGAGTAAGTGACAGAGCTGGGATTCCAACTCAGGCACACCCTGCTATAAAGCCACTGCTCTTAGAGCATCTTCCTTTCGGAGGTGGGAAATTCACACTTTGAGGGTAAGCCAACCCAGGGCAAGAAGCTCCCGATGTCTGGGTCTAGGAGGCCGAGAGGACTTATCTCTGGGTCCGTGTGTGACAGGAATGGCAGCAGCATGGAAAGCTAACTAGAACTCAGAAGCCACCTTGATGGAAAATGCTCCTATGGTGAGGCTAAAACTTCCCCAAAGTGGTGGCCTGGGACCCACTCACCTACTGAGACATTGGGGTGGGGGGTGCAACTTGATGCCCTCACTTCTGGGGCACAAAGAAAGGAGAGCCCAAGGGCCCCTCCCACTCACCGCGAAATTCACTGCCATTTTGCTGAACAGTCTTAGTTTGGTGCTTTTTTTTTTTTCTGGAAGACATTTAGGGGCATGAACTCAGCTGTCAGAGTGGGAAATCTGTGCTCTCAAAGATGTGTCACTCCCCAACACAGCATCCTCCATGGGAGCTGATTATCATTCTGCCCAGCAGGTAGCACAGTGTTAAATGGCAGTGGGGCTGCCCTGCCTCTGGCACCAGCCCGCCTTTACATCACCTCTTTGTCTAGCACCCCTTAGAGATTGTGTTCAGCAGGAACCTTTGCCCGTGAGGAGAGATCTGACCCCAGCATTTTGGGATTCTAATTCCAGGGAGGCTCTTCAGGTCAGCAGGTGGCAGGAGTGCCTGGAGCAGCATGAAGGGGTAGCACCGGGGACCTCATGCCTGTCTACAGGAAGCAGCAGCAGTTGGGCACCAGGGTTGTGAAAACTGCTTTAAATGAGAGGCCATTCTCCTCCTAGGACTGAGTCGTCAGTTGCCAGGCATTCTGCATCTGAACTTCACCCTCTCTCCCGCTCCAATTCCATTACTGTAGACACCCCGTCCCCTCCAGCCCCCACAGCTTTAGAAGCAGGTTGGCATAATAGAAATTAATGAGAGCCTTTCTCCGGACTAAGAACAGGAGGATCTCTCTGTCCTTTGCTTGTGCAAAGTCCAAATTCCTGAGCAGAAACTGCAGATGAAACTCAGAGGCAGCGGGATTGCATGTGGGAAAGTGGGAACAGGGCCCCAGGCTGCTCTCCTCAGAGATAGGCTCATCTAGCCCAAGAGAAAGAAGCTTCCAGATCAGGGAGGGCCCCAGGCCCCACCCTTATTTTACATCAGATTTACATCCAGATTTTTTTCTCTGAGCTTCCCCAAAGACAATAATGATGTTCCTTTCTAATCAGCAAAACACAGGGAGACTTGAACCCCTTAGAATTTGCCCAGGCAAGGAGGACCTGGCCTTTCCCAGAAAGTCCAATTTGCCCTCGCCTGCCCCAGGCCTAACTTCATAGCAGTCCACACCCTCCATCCCTCCCTGGCCCTCTCCTTTCCTGCTTCTTCCACCTTGAGTCAAGCACATTGGAAATTCACTGAGAGGGAGAAAAATTGAAAGTGTATGACTTGATGTTCCTTAAAGTCAAGCAACCAGAAAACGCAGTGGCTCGGTCCGAAGGGGGGTGTGTGGGACTGGGGTTGGGGGAGGGGAGGAGACAGCACTTGAGACACACGCAGCTCGCACTGTGTCCCCTCTTTGCTCTGATTGTTGTTGTTGTTCCAGGGGAGGCATGTGGGATATCAAATGACGACACTCTGGCCGGAAAAGCAGATGAGAAAGTCGATGAACACCTTTCCCCACTAGCAGGTAGAGAAACAAAGCGTCCAGTTTGGAACTTGGATGCCTGGAGCTCATAGTGGGAGCTGTCCTTTCCCTCTCTCGCCAGAATCCATGATCGCATCCATCGGAAAGCCCACGCAGGTGCTCAGAGTTACAGAGACGTTTGGGACGTGGATCAGAGAGTCTGCTAACAAGAGCGATGAACGGATCTGGGTGACCGAACATTTTTCAGGTACTTTCACTTGACAGGTGGCCGGTGTCTGTGTCATAATTGTACCTTTCATCTGTGACCTGCCTCCAGGCATATTCCGTGTCTGAGTGTCTGAGCTCCCTGCTGGTGGGTGGGTGTGGAGTAATAAGTGGCAGGGTACTTTGCTCAGCTGAGCGCACTGGGTCTTGCAGGTGAGGTCATGGGACTGACCCTGGCCCCCCCCCCCCCCCAACACACACACTGCAGCTTATCTGGTGTGAGGCAGACAGTCCAGAAGGAGCACATGACCCTATGGAATCCCAAACAATGAAGTAGGAGAAATGTCAGAGGAGAAATCTTTTGCGCTGTTTGTCTTGTCTCAGAAGTTGGCACCCCTCCCCTCCTGGGGTGGAGGGTGTTTTATTCTCACTACCTGCATTCTCATTTACCTTTTGGATGGGGAGGTGCTATCTCACAGGTAGCTGAGGCTGCCCCTAGTCATCCTGCCCCAAAGTATGTGGTCAGGAGTGGCCAGTGGTAGTGGCCGTGGCCTCCTTCCAGAGGGGTCTGGCCATCCTCAGGGCCAGGGATGTAACTGAGAGGGCATTCTTAATTTCGTCAAGGTGCAGCAGTGGGATGGGAGGGACCTCCCGGATTACCAGCTGTGGCTCAAAAGGAAAGAGGAATTTTGTGAATTAGTAGATGCTGCTGTGGAATCCAGGAGGTAGGAGGTGATGAGTACTTGCCAGTAATAGCGATTCCCACTATAGGCCTCTGTGGAACTGAAGAAAATGTCCTCAGTCCCCCGGACTCCAGTGGGGAAGAGTGATTCAGTTTCCCTGGGAGGAGCGAAACCGACTCGGTGGCCACTGTGTAGGGAAGATGGTTCTGGACTCTGTAGAAGAGAACTGGACTTTGAGTTTGGGAGTCTGAGCTCTTCAGGCTGGACAGGACCCTTCAGCTCCCCTCCTTTTGACTCCTCACCTCCCCACCTGCCAAGCTGATTGGCAAAACAACCCAGTAACAGCCCCTCCTGGCCTCCCTCCCCCAGGCATCCGGGTGAAGGAATTCAGTGACCAGCCCTCTCTGCTGAATGGCAGCTACACACTCATCCACCTCCCGTATTATTTCCACGGCTGCGGGCATACTGTTCACAACAGCTCTCTCTACTACCACAAAGGAGGTTCCAACACCATCGTGAGGTGAGTCTTGGGGGTGGTGGGGAGACGCAGCACCTTCTCAAAGACCCCAGGCGGCACCACCTCCTGGATAGTGCTCTGGTTTACCTGTGAGCCGCCGGTGGGGTGGAGGTCTGTGTTCCCATCACTGCCCACAGTGCACGAGCAGAGCATGAGCAGAGTTTTCTGACCGAATGAACTACAGGCCTCAGTGACTGAGCCCCAAGTCTCACCCCTGCCTAGGGGTTGCATTTATTGCTGGTCTAGACACTAAGAGTAGGATCAGAGCCAGGGAGAAGCCCAGAGTGGTAAGGGCTGCAGCTTGCTCACCCTTTAAGAGAAAGCAACTCAGCGCCCAGAGTTCCCTCTTGTCATCCCCTATTCCCCAGGTGGGTTTTATTATGAAAAACCTTGCCCCTCAAACATTTCATGTCACAGCTGATATCACTGACAAGGCCTGCAGTGCTCATAGTGCCCCGCCAGGGTGTGGGCTTCACTTAGCACTGCCATCCCCAGGAGCCCTCGCCAGGCCTCCACTCTTTCTCCCCCTGGGTTCCTGGGCAGGAAAGTGGTCGCCTGGGTAGGCTGTGCCTAGGGTGGCAGCAGACTTTTGCTTCCTCTTCTCAAGAATTGCTGAAGCTTGGTCTTCATGGTTTAAGAAGAAAGACGGTTCTGGGCTTCAGAGGCAGAAGCTGGCCATTCTGAGCAAATAAGAGCACTGTGAACTCAGGTTCTAACTCTCTTGCCTCCTCATTCCCTGGCATTGAAGAGGAAACATCAGTCACTTCTGTCCTTGATAAAAATAAAAAGTTGGGGCCCTCCCTGGTGGCACAACGCGTTAGGAAGCAGCACTGCAAGCTGGTCACAGCTGCTTCAGTGCGAGTTCGATCCCCAGCCCCGGAGGTGACCACATGGCAGACCTCTCCTGACCCATCCGCTGCTCCCCTCAGCAGTGTATTGCAGTCAATCTGCCTGTTCTGCTCCCCACTCTGTCTCTGGTGACTCCTCTCACTGTCCCTGCACCTCTGGCCTGTATCCCAGTTCTGTATGCATAAATGAATAAATCTCTTTAAAAAAAAAAAAGATGGTGCAGCCCTCCAGCTGTGCCCCTATCTGAAATGATATTTCCAATATCAGGGAGTAAAAACAATGGTCCTGGGCACCTAAAACAAGGAACGAGACCTCGAGAGAGGACTGGTCTCTGCCTCTCCCCCCGTGAAGTCACTGGTGGGTTCTGTTGTGACGGGACAGCTTCCCAGTGTCCTGTGCAGTTTAACAGCCACCTCAGATACACTGCACCTCCCATGCTTGCCTGTCATCCTCCTCCACCGGACACCCCCCACACACACACACACGTCTTCCCTGCCTCCTCACTGGGCAGAATCCTGTGCTAACAGAAAAGGACAGCTGACCCACCTCCACTCAGCAATCACACCCAGACACACAACTTCCATGACATTTCTCCTGATTTAATCCTGTGGGTCCCTGCTGTCATGTCTATAGGGTGAAGGTGGTAGGGGAGTTATAGGGTGAATGAGCCCTAGAAAATGTCTTCTGATGAAGCAAAACTTCTGATGCAAAGATTGGGGGTTCCACATTGAGTCACTGCCGAATGCCATGCCACAGCCGGGAGAGGGAAGAGGAGACCCTTTTCTGACTGGAAGCTTGTAGCTGTTGGTGCCAGTGCCAGATGGGGGCAAATGGTGGCACCCATCCCCAGGCATTCAGAGGAAGGAGAGCCGTGAGCTGAGGGGCAGATGGCCTTTGTTCCCTAGCTCTCAGGCTTCCTTTGTGGCTGCCAGTTTCTTAGACTCCAGTCACAACCAGAATCCCATTTTGCTTTCCTTTTGTTGCTCAATGGCACCCTCTAGTGTTTCTTTCAGCCTAGTGCCCCTGAATTTTCATTCCTGGGGTCAGGTACCTTTGGAATCATCACTGCTTTTTGCTAAAGCCCTGATTTGGAATCTGCCAAGTCATTCAGCCACCAGGGTCTGAGAGGCATGCGATTTCATGCCATAGCTAAATTCACCCAGTCACTTAACCTGAAAAGAAAATCAGCTTCACAGATGGTGACTTTCTCCTTTAGTCTGTTATGAAATTCTTGTCTGAAAAATCCCAGGATGGAGTAGAGGAAAACCCCCTAGACTTGAAGTTAGAGAAACCAAAGTCTACTACATCTTTTATTCCTGAACCAGTCACTTACCCCATTTTTATTTGTGGAAGGAAAGGGATGAACTAGCTCATCTGTCGACTCTAAAAATCCTGGAAAGGGTGATGGGAAACCCGTGGGGATTACAATTGAGATGAAAAAAAAAAATGTGCAAAATGATGTAAAAATAAACTTTAAAAAAAAATACAAAAAAAAAAATCCTGGAAAGGGTGTTTCAGGAGGTCAGCAACCACCCGAAGATTCATGAGCGTAAGGGATTTTCCCGGGGATACTTAGCAAGTGGACACCCAGACGTAAATTCATTCTGACTCTGGGGGTCCAGTCTCTGCCACCACACCCCTGCCTCCCTGTTTCCTCTGTCAGCTGAGCAAGCAGCTGTCCTTTCACCTCCTTGCTGCCCCAGCACTGTGGATGGGCCTGCAGAAGGGCGTGACCTGGGAACGCATTAGAAACACGGACTCACAGACTCATAGAGGAGCCTAGGAAGTCACCATTTTCCACAACGATGGTGACTCAGATCTACTTCTTTACACATTTCAGATTTGAATTTGGCAAAGAAACATCCCAAACTCTGAAGCTGGAAAACGCCTTGTATTTTGATCGGAAGTACCTCTTTGCAAATTCCAAGACTTACTTCAATTTAGCTGTAGATGAAAAGGGCCTTTGGATTATCTATGCTTCCAGTGCGGACGGCTCAAGCATTCTTGTGGCACAGCTGGATGAGAGGACATTTTCTGTGGTGCAGCACATCAATACCACGTACCCCAAGTCCAAGGCCGGTAACGCCTTCATTGCCCGCGGGATTCTCTATGTCACAGACACCAAAGATATGAGGATAACGTTTGCCTTTGATTTGTTAGGAGGGAAACAGATCAATGCAAACTTTGATTTAAGAACTTCCCAGTCTGTTCTTGCCATGTTATCATACAATATGAGAGACCAGCACTTATATTCGTGGGAAGATGGCCATCTAATGCTTTATCCTGTGCGTTTCTTGTCAGAGACATTAAACCAGTGATGGGATGCATTCTGCTCACCCCCAGCAAATCTCAGTTATTCTCTGGGACCATTTATACCAATCCCCCCAAAAAAACTTGTCTTTAAGGGTAGCCAGATATTTCGCTGTGGTGATTTCATGCATATTTATGTGGCTGGCAGATTCTCTTTAAATTCGGATTCTCTAAAGTAACAACAGATTTGAAATTGAAATAACTAAGATGTAGCAATTTCTCTAAAACTGGCCTTGATTTGTTACCTGCCCTTAGACCTTCTCCCGCCCTCCTTCAGGTCCCTCATCTGGAGGGGCTGGCTGACAGGACTGGTAATGTCACAGGGCAACCCAATGGGAACTGGGTTGCCTATCTGTGGGTCCTCAACCGCGCGCTTAAGATCCAATTATACTTCAGACACACACAAAAAAGTTCGATAATGGGTTTATTTACAAAGGGGAAAGAAAATGGAACAACCAAGGAAAAGAGAGAGAGAGATACAAGTTAACTAGAGCATCCTACCAGCTCCGCTAACTTGGAACTAAAATAGCACACTGAAAGCTCATCAAGAGCCAAGCAGCCAGCCACCAGCCACGCCATCCAGGAAAGAGAGAATTTAACATGGCTCCCTTATATCTCCAAAAGTCCCAGAATGCCTGCTTAGCTCCACCCTTGGGTCCTCACAGTTCCCGCCATGCTATTGCTGGGAGCTGTAGTTTCAGTAACTGGAGTAGGGGGTGGAGTCCACAAAACTACAGAGGACATCCTCTCCCCCTAGCAGTAGGAGTTTCCCCAACTAGAGGGAATTCTGAGCAGCTTGTCTGGTACCACTGGCACAAACTTTGCTGCAATTTGGGTTTCTTGTTTGTTTAGCCATGTGCTGGGGACATGTTGATTAGCCCAATTGTTTGAGTGAGGAATTCTTAGTGCGACTCGACTTGATGCCATGGAAAGCTGCACTGGCTTTGATGGCCTGAGGTACTCTGTTCCCCATAATTGACTCCCCCTCTCTGCATCTGCATCTGCCACCACACTGCTACACTGGCCAGTACCCTCAGCTCCTCCTTGCTGCTCTGAGATTAGCAAAAGGCAGGAACGGCCAGTGACATGCTCAGGTTTCCTAATGAAACAGAAACCAGTCCTGGGTTCCTGTCAGTTTCTGATCAGGCTGATGTGCAGCAGCAGTCACAGCACTGAGTCCTGGGGTCACACTGACTTCCTCCACTGCAGCTAGGACTCTGCTCTCAGAGCTCTAAGGGATGTGGGTGGGCATTTGTCTGGCTGCCTTTGGGGAGCACTTTACAGTTTTCAGAAGAGAGGCACTATTTGTGGTGCAAGACTGAAAAACTGTGTCCCTAAGGAAAAACTAGCCCGTTACCTGTTTTGTTAATAAAGTTTTATTGGAACAGGTGACGCTCATGTGTTCATGTGTTAGTCTGTGACTACTTGTGTTCTACAGTGGCAGAGTTGAGCAGCTGCCATAAAATTGAGAAATGACCCAGCAAGCCTATGTACTCATCAGAACCAGTTTGCTGCGTTTTGTTCCAGGCTAAGTAGTACTTTATATGGTTTGAGGTTTTGGTAGAGGACCAGGGTGAGAGAACAGCTTAAAAATAAGTGGCCATCCTAAAAGCAGCTTTTAGAGGATGTGATCGCCCTGGGATGCCAAAAGAAAATCCTGTTCGACTTGCTCCTAACTGCCCTGAAATCATGTTTTCTTCCAGCGTGGTTCTTCAAACATCCTTTGGCCCAGGTTGAGGCAGGGCCTCTGGGAATACAGCTGTAAGTCATGAGCTCTGCAGCCAGGTACAGGACCTGGGAGAACTCTGATGAGGGTTTTCCAGCAGTTTGACCTTATTGAATATGTGTTGGAAAGGACCTTCTGAAACTTCTTCACTGAGTCCAAATCCATTCTCAGTGGCCGTGAGTCCTGATTTTATACCTTATTAATGAAACATTTTAAAACTTGAGGGATGTAAACTTTAACTCCCCCCACCTCCTGAAATAATTAGGCAGCTGTTAGGGACTTTTTTGTTGTTGTGTGCTCAAAATAATGGTTATGTAGAACTCCTCCCCTACCCATGTATTTTTTAATTACATTGTGTCATGTCCTCACAGCTTTTAAAAAACACTCTTTGCAAAGTCCTGTTTCGTAACAAAGTAAAAGAGAGTTTCATGTCCAAAATCAATGTGTCTAATGAGTGCTAGGACTTTTTTTTTTAAGTATTTAAATATATGTGTTGATGTTGCTAGACCAGGATATGAGTATAATTTCATAGTAATAATTGTATTAGTAGTAGTGATGATAATATATATAATACTGATTTGTGTATGACAATAAATTTAAAAAAAAAAAAAGAGGTCAGTTAGAATTAGCACATATTTCTCTTTGAAAAAAGTTTAAAAAAACCCTGTCTTGATAGAGTGATTTTCTTGGCTCCTGTCATTGTGGGTAAGAAAACTATACTCACTAGTACAACAGTTCTAACTGATAGCAACAGATGAATTTTGTTTGAGGTTTCATGTGTAACAATGTAAAGTAATATGATTACAGTGTGGTTAAACATTGTCAGTACTTGATTAAAGAAAAAGGTTCGGGCTTACTGCTGAAATAGAATCTACAACCTCATTTTTTTTTTAGATACTGTTTTAGCAGTTTGTGTTGTCATTTATAAACAAAGTTGCTCTCAAAGCACTTTTTATCTGTGTGCACTTCTGATGTCAGAATGAAATCAGATAATTCTCTAATTTTCCTTTAATCTAAAGTATTTAGCTTCCCACTGGAAAGTAAATAAAGGCATCTCCCCTGACCTCAAACGTAGGCCAAACCCTGTTCCACAGCCTTTTCTTTTAGCTGGTAACTTGTCCTATTGAAGCCATGCAGGTGGTTATGATTTCAGTGCCTCACTCAGCCAGGTGTTAGGACAGAGAGAGAGCGCTCTGGGCGAAAGTTTTAAATGAGGAATTATCTTAGACACTTTCCCCCACTTTTACCTTCAGGGTTGCAAGGTGAAAAGTCAAATGAAACACTCTGATTCTTGAAGAGCTGGGTGTCATTTTCCAAGGGCACAGTGTGTTTTGGCTGTAACTATTTGAAATCAAACCACCTGATGGAGAAGTATGTGATAGGACTTCTCAGTTTTTATCCCGCTTTGTGACCTTGTGTATCATCACATCATGATAAGCCATAATTTCCAATCTGTACGCACAGATTCTGAACAGTTATGAATAACAAGTACATAATGGTGAGTGTCTCTTTGGTTGTAATTTATTTAACTTTAATTAGTCAATAAAGTAATCATTGCTGAACAGAAGCACATGTTGAAACACGTGTATTTTTTATTATCTTTTGGTCATTTCCATGTAACATTGAAAAGAAATCACAATCCAAGAGCAATGTTATATAATTGTAGTATCTGTTCCTGTAGTGAAATTCTCACAAACTGCTAGCTACTGAATACTGAGAAATCATTGAAGACTATGAAATGAGTAACTATTGATAGAACTATATATATATATAGATAGATAGATATATAGATATAAATGCAATGAAGATTGTTAGTTTATTTGTGTAGGCAAGGCAACTGAAAAGGAAATAAAGTTTTAGACTAAAAATAAAACAACAAAAATTTAACACCAGATCTGTGTGATTTGGGGCAAATTTTTTAGTGACCTCCCAGCCTCCCTCTATAAAATACATATAATAGTATTACCTACCTGTTTTTATTTTTCTGGGTAAAATGAAAAAAAAATGCTCTGAAAAGATACGATTCTTGATAAATTATGTTTGTTTCTTTTATGTTTCATCCCTACAGGGACAGAGCCCACCTGTTGTTCTGATGACCTTATTAGGGGTATAGGAATGGGTCAGGGTTACAGTATCAATAGTTTGTGTCTCTTTGTCCGTTTGATTAGGCAGTTAACACTTAACACCACCACAAAGCCACCCCTCAGTCGGACAACAAATTTACAACTAAACTGTCTTCAAGTTATGAAAAGAGAGTCCAATAGCCTGCGACTGACCCATTTGAACTTCTAACCTAACCTAGAAGTGTCCGTTACTGGCAGTCCAAGCATATGCTGCTGCTCACTCCTGCAATTAAAGTATTACAGAAGCACAAAGAGAAAAAGTTCACAAGGAAAAGTAGTCTTTCCCCTTTCATTGGACCATCAGTTTGTGTGTGATTTAAAGATAACCAGTGTTACAGCCACTCATTCTAGGATTAAAACATAAAAATGAAATTAATCTGTCTCACTACTTTTCCCTCCAGTCTGCTGTGACCAACCTCAAAAACAGATCTCCTGAAATCCAAAAAACTGATTGTAAAAGCACCCAACTTTTGGGTCTAGTGATCTAGAAATGTCAGTGTCTCACGCATAGTTGTCAAGAGACCATGCACACAATCACAGGACTATTAAATGTCAGCACTAGGTGGGACACCACCTTGACAGAATACCCAGTCCAGCCTGTGTTTTTGAATCAAAGAAAAGTGAAGTCAGAGAATGTCATTTACCTAACATCCCTAATGCCAGAGTCAAGAAAAGATGACTGCTTCCTGACTTTCTAATCATGTTCCCCACCTTACATTGGCACTTCCAAAAGAATGATCTGATCACTAATTTTGACCATTTTTTAAGGCATTTCTTTCAAAAGAGCTCACTCTAAAGGCAAGTGCCACACTCAGCCTACTCCAGCAGAGAAGACTCCACCACAAAACCATTTTCAACACAACGAAGCCAGTCACCACCTTCTAGGAGGTAAATGTCAATGCTGACGTCCAGCACCTATTGTTACTCTAAAAAGTACTAGCACCTATGGCCGGTTTCTGCTCCAAAGTTTTAAGAGGCCTCAAAATAGCTACTACTTGGTGCTCAGCCCCCATCTACCATGGGCCGTTCATCTTGCACTCATTATTTTACTTCATCAGAGGTGCTCAAGTAGAAAAGTCCTTAAATATCATCTAGTCTCTCTACTCAGTGTTTTCATCCTCTCTGCAAATGTAGTGGACTCGGTGATGTACTCAGCACTTGGATCCACGTCAGGGAAGAATTTTTGGCCCTGGTGCCTGGAGTGCTCTCAGCCCATACCCTACAGCGGTCAGAACTGTCTGACTGCAGCGACCCCTCCCCCCAGCACACATCCCTTCACCCAGCCCAGTGTGAGTATAAAGGTCCAGATGGCAGGCCAACTTGGAGCGCGTCTAAAGTGGCCATCCCTGTGCCTGGGTTCCCTGTGGTCCCACCGACTCTGTCACTGACCTGCACCCAAACTGACTTCCTTTTGTCCTTCTCACTGCTTTCTCCCTTCCAAGTCGAGCAAACAGGCTGGTTCTCTTGTTTGATGTGGTCAGTATTCCTTCTTGGTCACATGATCCCTAAGTCATTTTTTTTTAAATTTTATAATGATTTATTTCTACATATTTTTGTGCATTTTTTCATCTCAGTCGCAATCCCCGTGGGTTTCCCATCACCAAATCAC